CAGGCGTTTGAGTAATTTAGTGCAATCTGGTAATGGAACATAGGAATGGAACAATGGACGACGAACCTGGACTACTCTTGGATGATGAGAAGATTGGGTACGGTTGTTTTTTGTAATAATTGTGCACTGTAATTGCTTATTGGTAATTTATGGATAATGTGTTAAGTCAATTGTTATATGTTGTATGGAACCACTGCTGTTTCTACTGTTTTTACTGTTTGTGAACCGCTGTGAGTCGCCTTCGGGCTTGAGATACAGCGGTATATAAGCAAAGTAAATAAATAAATAATAAATAAATAATTATCTGACATTTTTGCTTATCCAACATTCTGATGGCCCATTTATCTTGGATAAGCGGACTCTACTGTAGTAGATATGGGCACAAAAAGACTACAGATACATCTCCACCAGTGTTTCTCAACCTTCCTCATGCCGCGAACCCTTAATACAGTTCCTCATGTTGTGGTAACCCCCAACCACAGCATTATTTTTGTTGCTATGTCATAACTGGATTTTGGTTGTTATGAATCGTAATGTATATATCTGATATGCATGATATATTTTCATTCACTGGATCAAATTTGGCACAAATACCCTATACACCCAAATTTCAATGCTGGTGGAGTTTGGAAGGGGTGATTTTGTCATTTGGGAGTTGTAGTTTATTTATTTATTTCCTATATTTATACCCCACCCTTCTCACCCTCAAGGGGGGACTCAGGGCAACCTCATAGAAGCACCATATGATGCCATCAACATAAAAACAATCAACAATACATTAAAATATTAAAAACAATAATTAAAACAATTTTCTAGGATTTATAATTTACCTACAATCAAAGAGCATTCTGATGGAACTGAACCAAACATGGCATACAGAACTCTCAAGACCAACAGAAAATACTGGAAGGGTTTGGTGGGCATTGACCTTGAGTTTTGGAGATGTAGTTCACCCACTTCCAGAGAGCATTGTGGACTCAAACAATGATAGATCTAGACCAAACTTGGCATGAATACTCAATATGCCCATATTTGAACACTGGTGGAGTTTGGGGAAAATAGATCTTGACATTCAGGAGTTGTAGTTGCTGGGATTTATAGCTCACCTATAATCAAAAAGCACTCTGAACCCCACCAATGATAGAATTGAGCCAAACTTCCTACACAGAACCGCCATATCTTGAAGGGACTCGCTGGTGTAAGCCTCCCTCCAGCCTCGCGTGCTCTCCCTCACCTGCACATGTGAACCACGCTGCCATGCACCAAGCATGTCTGCTCTCCCCTCCCCGCTTGGAGTCTCAAAAACAGCCCTCCTATTGGGTGAAAAACAGGTCAATCATAGCAAAGATGGGCTTTTGGTGGGATGATTTGCTGTCTATTTCCAAAAAGGAAGAGAAGGCGGAGAGATCTTCAGCCTTCTCTGCCAAAGGGGTTCCTAAGACCATCAGAAATATGTGTTTTCTGATGGTGTTTGGTGACCTCTCTGAAACCCCCTCATGATTCCCCACCCCCACCCCGGGTCCCAACCCTCAGGTTGAGAAACGCTGATCTACACTATAGAATTAATTCAATTTGATGCCGATTTCATTGCCATGACTCAATGCGATGGGATCCTAGGAGCTGCAGTTTGGTGAGGCACCGGTACAACATTGTAAAAATGCAACACCTAGCTTTTCTGAGTCATGGTTGTTGTTATAGTGTCAACCCGCATTCGTTCAACAGTGTATATGCAGTCACAGGAGGAGATGCTGCCACACCAGACCCAAAGCAGAAGAGCTATTTTCTGATTTCTGAGCTGAGAATGGACCCTCCACTTCCCAACACGGCAAAGAAAATGTTCCTGGTTGTTCTCTCTGGGCTGTTTGTTTTAAAAGCAATAATCTTTTTATTAATAATCTCCTTCCCTTTCAGACCCAGGAGCAGGTATCCATAACCCATCTGGTCCCTTTATCTCAGAGGACATTAAATGGCAGGGAATGAGGCAGCGGAGCCTGCTGATGTTTACCTTCGTACCTTTGTTCCTTGAACAATGGTCTGCTTTAAGACGCTGCAAATGTGATGCGTAAGGTGCCATCTACACCATAGAATCAATGCAGTGTGACACCCCTTGAACTGCCAAGGCTCAGTGTTATGGAATCCTGGGATTTATAGTTCAGGGAGGCCCCAGCCTTGTTTGGCAGAGGAGACTAAACACCTTATCAAACCTCGTTTCAGTTATGGCAACCTTTTTCTTTTGACCAGGGACCGCTTGACCATGGACCACTTTGACCAGGGACCACTCCAACATTAGTACCAAAGGGATTACAAATCAGTTTTTGGTCAACTTTATATTCGGTTTGGTACTTGGGGTGCTGATTCAGAAAATTGCATGGGACAGACCACATCAGCTCTAGTTTCTGATACAGAACAAATGCCATCCAGTAGTCCCCATCTGCTCATCCACAGAAAACCATATTTAATCATCTAGAGCTGATGGTCTATCCAATCCAATCCTTCCTTCTTTCCTTCTCTCCCTCTCCTTCTCTCTCTTGCTCTCCAATGGCACCGAGGAAGCTGCGAGAGGACAAGGGCAACGGCACTGTCCTCCTTCCTTCCTTCCGTACTTCCTTCCTTCCTTCCTTCCTTCCTTCCTTCCTTCCTTCCTTCCTTCCTTCCATACTTCTCTCCATCTCCTTCTCTGTCTCACTCTCCTCCAATGGCACCAAGGAAGCTGTGAGAGGGCAAGGGCAACACCACTGTCTTCCTTCCTTCTCCTTCCTTCCTTCCTTCCTTCCTTCCTTCCTTCCTTCCTTCCTTCCTTCGTTCCTTCTCTCATAGAATCATAGAATCATTGAGTTGGAAGAGACCTCATGGGCCACTGTGGACTCAAACCATGATGGATCTGGACCAAATTTGGCCAAGAAGCAGGAAAATTGCATTCAAAGCACCCCCGACAGATGGCCATCCAGCCTCTGTTTAAAAGCTTCCAAAGAAAGAGCCTCTACCACACTCCGGGGCAGAGAGTTCCACTGCTGAACAGCTCTCACAGTCAGGAAGTTCTTCCTAATGTTCAGATGGAATCTCCTTTCTTGTAGTTTGAAGCCATTGTTCCATTGTGTCCTAGTCTCCAGGGCAGCAGAAAACAAGCGTGCTCCCTCCTCCCTATGACTTCCTCTCACGTATTTATACATGGCTATCATTTCTCTTCTCAGTCTTCCCTTCTTCAGGCTAAGCATGCCCAGCTCTTTAAGCCACTCCTCATAGGGTTTGGTTTCCAGACCCTTGATCATTTTGGTCGCCCTCCTCTGGACACATTCCAGCTTGTCAATATGTCTCTTCAACTGTGGTGCTCAGAATTGGACACAATATTCCAGGTGTGGTCTAACCAAGACCTTCTCTCTCTCACTCTCTTCCAATGGCACCGGGGAAGCCATGGGGGGGGGGGCAGAGGGCAAGAGAGTAAGAAGGCGGGGGCAACAGTTCTGTCCTCCTTCCTTCCTTCCTTTCTTCCTTCCTTCTCCTTCTCTCTCTTGCTCTTTTCCAATGGCGCCAGGGAAGTTGCAAGTGGGCAAGAGGGCAAGAGCAATGTGCTGGCCTCCTTCCTTCCTTCTCTTCCTCTCCTTCTCTCTCTCTCTCGCTCTCCTCCAATGGCAGCACACACACCTGGCTGTGGACCTTATGTTAGGTATCACAGCCCACTGGTGGGAACCACTGAACTACGGTATTAAACAGCTACAGTGCAGATGCACTCCAAGACTTGTAAAGCAAAAGTGGATTTTTCTGCTGTAGAATGTTGAAAATATATGTGAATATATATTTTGCACTTATATTTATACAGATAATATAGATATGGATAATGGGTATTGTTATACGAGGCTTGAATGAAAAGTAATGCCTCCAGCTTCGTAACTCATCAACAGATGGCAGTACTGGTATGTGGCAGGTACTGGCTTGTTCAGTAGACTCTCCTCTATAGTTCCATTTTGGCAGGAAGCCTTAGCATTGAATGGTTGTGTTGTTAAAGTGCAAAGTATGAAACCCTGTGCAGATGGTCGGTCAAGCAATGTGCAATCATTGAATTCTTGAGAGCAGAATGTGTCACCCCAAAAGAGATTCATCAGAGAATGCAAGCTGTTTATGGTGATTGTGTTGATGTGAGTACTGTGTGTCATTGGGCGAGTAAGTTTAAAGATGTTGAGGTGGGAACATCTGACTTGCGTGACAAACAAAGAGTTGGACGTCCTGTGACAACAACCACTGAGTTTCACAATCAAAAGGTTGACAGATTGATTCAGCCCCCCCCCCCCCCCCGAAATTCTCATGGTGGTTCGCGAGAAGGCCTTACTGGTGCATTATTTAAACTGTTATGTTTATTCATATCATGATCTGATCACCATACTCAATATATCCCATATGCATGGGGGTATTGGGGTAATGATACAAAAGGTTTGCTAGGGTAGACCCTCTTTCACTCAGACTCAGCCCCCCCCCCCGAAACTCAGCCCCCCCGAAACCCCCCCTGAAAAAAATTCAGCCCCCCCCCCCCGAAACGAAATCCTGGCTACGGGCCTGTTCAGTACAATTGTCGTATCACTCAGAGAGAAATTTCAAGCATAACCAGAATTTCACAAGAACATGTGGGTCACATTATTGCTTTGCTTGGCTATCGGAAGATCTGTGCACAATGGGTATCCAGGATGAGAAACTGTGAAACACTGGTTGCAGAAACAGAGTGTTGACTTCTTCCCTGACGGCTTCAGAAAACTTCATCATTGGCAGAAATGTATCCAATTGTCTGGTGATTATGTGGGAAAGTGAATAGTGGTAGTTAAAGAGCACATTCTAAGGATTATTTCTGTGTTTGATTTATTAAAATATTCCCATCCAAACCCAAGTAACGAAGGAGGAGCCATTACTTTTCATTCAGCCCTCGTAGATAGAGGGCCCATATAGTTTGGTTCCACTACAAGTACCAAAACCATCATGCAATAACGGATATATATTTTTTCATTCGTATCTAGGGATCCTCCAACACAGCTTGTAAGCCTCATGTGATAATGTCCTCAAACGCAACTGGGAAAGTGGGACAGCAGAGGATTAAATGGCACCGTCTGCATGCAAACAGCACTTTAGTTGCCATCTGCAATGAGGATACTAGGTGAGTTGTCAAGGAATGGGAGTCTTCTCAAGGAACAACAAGGTTCTCTGTCACATCCAACAAGCCGATCCCAGGAGTAAGGACTTCTATGAGTTTTGGAGGGCAGTAGCTTTAATCACTTCATCCCACGCTATTTAAATATTTGTTCATTACTCTCCCTCCCTTCCTTTCTATCTCAACATAACTTCCTCTTGGATACCACAAGACTGCTTACATAATTGGATTGTTCTAATTGCTGGAGACTGGCGAGTGAAATGGATAATTGGAAGGATGCAGATAGGCTGGACTGTAAACAAAGGACTTCACTGCTGATAAAGCTATTGTATTTGCAACATTGTGCGCATCCTGCTCCCAACCTGCCTTCTGCCTTCAATGAACCCCTCCCATGCCTCTATTCAGGGGCCAAACTCACCAAGAGCTGTCAATCCTGCACTTTCCCATCCCCTTCCTCGTGCAATAATGGAGATGCTCATCCAAAGAGGTGCACGTATTGGAACACCACAGAGATACTTGTTTTCTCACAGATGTGGGTGTAAAGCACTCTACAGACGTTATATTTCTTCTTGCAGGAGGAGATGGTGGCGGAGTATAAATAAATTATTATTATTATTATTATTATTATTATTATTATTATTATTATTATTATTATTAAGACTGACATCCCAATCCACCTGAAACCTTTGCTCTGGTTTTGTTTTGCCAATGGCTACAAAACTGCTGAAACAAAAGTGCCCCCGTGTGGATTCTGTGGGCATCTACTATTCTGAATGCCACAAAAGATTTCTTAAAGCTTCTTTCACTCTGCCCAAGGCATTTCCACCTTAAGAACAGACACGCATCTCCAGCTCTGAGGATTACCATGGGAGGAGCATTGCAGCACACTCAAATACCTGGGAGTTACCTGACTTACAAGAAGCACTGCTTGAATAGCATAACAGTTATGGTTGGGGGGTCACCACAACATGAGGAACTGTATTCCTTCTCCTCCTCCTTAGGCGATCCCTCGTTGTCCAAGTAGGATTGTCTTCCAAGATCTGTGTACTAGTGGTGGGTCCGTAGGTGACTGTGGAGCCCTTTTCTTGACCTGCATGTTCTCCCGCATCGGTTTCCAGGTGGAAGGCGGTCCTGGTCGGGGTTGGCTTGACGCATCTTTCTCTTGGCACATTTCTCTCTTTTGCCCTCCATTTGTGCCTCTTCAAATTCTACAGCACTGCTAGTCACAGTTGACCTCCAGTTAGAGCGCTCAAGAGCCAGAGCTTCCCAGTTCTCAGTGTCTATGCCAGCATTTTTAAGGTTGGCCTTGAGCCCATCTTTCAATCTCATTTTCCTGCCCACCAACATTCCATTTTCCATTCTTGAGTTCGGAGTAGAGCAACTGCTTTGGGAGATGGTGGTCAGGCCTTCAGACAACATTGCCGGTCCAGCAAAGTTGATGGTGGAGGACCATCGCTTCAATGCTGGTGGTCTTTGCTTCTTCCAGTACGCTGACATTTGTCCGCTTGTCTTCCCAAGAGATTTGCAGGATTTTCCGGAGGCAACATTGATGGAATCGTTCTAGGAGTTGCATGTGTAGAAAGTCCACATTTCGCAGGCATAGAGCAGGGTTGGGAGGACAATAGCTTTACAAACAAGCACTTTGGTATCCCTACGGATCTCCCAGTCTTCAAACACTCTGCTTCATTCGGAGGAATGCTGCACTCGCAGAGCTCAGGCGGTGTTGTATTTCAGTGTCAATGTGCACAGACAACGTTGTCATCAGCATATTGGAGTTCTATAACAGATGTTGCTGTAAACTTGGTTTTGACTTTCAATTTGCTGAGGTTAAATAGCTTGTCTCTGTCTGATAGATGATTTCCACTCCGGTGGGAAGCTTCCCATCAACAAGATGAGTGATGAAGATGGAAAATAAGGTTGGGGCAATAACACATCCCTGTTTGAGACCTGATTCTGTATTAAGGGGCCGCGGCATTAGGAAGGTTGAGAAACTTTGAAATGTGTTCAGTAACAGACAGGCAGCCAGTGGAGCTGACAAAACAGTCTTCAAAGGTAACCCCACGTAGAGTGTGTTGCAGTAATCTATTCTCAACGTTACAAGAGCTTGGACTACTGTGTCCAAGCCTGACTTCCCAAAGTATAAGTGCAAGTGGCACACAATTGTGTAAATGCTCCCCTGGCCACCACCGAGACCTGGAATTCCAGGCTCAACGATGAATACAGGAGAACTCCCAAACTACGAACCTTGGAAGTGGAAGTGCAACCTCATCCAACACAGGTTGTAACTCTATAACCTGTTGGCCTTATTTATTTATTTATCTATTTATGACATTTAGATGCCGCCCTTCTCACCCCAAAGGGTGAGACTGACCAGAAGGACCTCTGGATTCAATTTCAATTTGTTTGCCCTCATCCAGACCATCACAGCTGCCAAGCACCGATTCAGGACCTGAACAGCCTCCTTAGTACCAGGTGGAAAGGAGTGACAGAGTTGGACGTCATCTGCATACAGATGGCATTGAACTCCCAAACTCTGCATGTTAATTTTTCCAGTGGTTTCATGTAGATGTTAAACAACATGGGGGTCAATATTGAGACCTGTGGGGCCCCACAGAGCAATGACTATGGGGCCGAGGCCATATTCCATGACCTCAAAAAATAGCAGTTCAAGTGATGTAAAACTACATGAATTCCACAGTGTAGATGTGCCCAAAGAGACCACAAGAAACAGCAGCTAGGAGATCAATATATTATAAACACAGTGATGGTTCACAGTGATAGGAGGACTGATTTTGTCATTTGAGAGTTGTAGTTGCTGGGATTTATAATTTTCACCTAAACTTAAAGAGCATTCTGAACTCCACCAATGATGGAATTGAACCAAACTTGGCACACAGGACTCCCATGAGCAATAGAAAATACTGGAAGGGTATTTGAATACTGGTGGGGTGGGGGGGGGGGTGATTTTGTCGTTTGAGAGTTGTAGTTGCTGGGATATATAGTTTTCACCGACAATCAAAAAGCATTCTGAACTCCACCAACGATGGAACTGAACCAGACTTCGTACACAGAACTCACATGAGCAATAGAAAATACTGGAAAGGTTTGGTGGGCATTGACCTTGAGTTTTGGAGTTGTAATTTACCTACATCCAGAGAGCACCGTGAACTCAAACAATGATGGATCTGGACCAAACTTAGCACAAATACTCAATATGCCAAAATGTGAACACTAGGGGAGTTTTGGGGAAATAGACCTTGACATTTGGGAGTTGTAGTTGCTGGGATTTATAGTTCACCTACAATCAAAGAGCATCCTGAACTCCACCAACAATGGAATTGAACCAAACTTGGCACACAGAATTCCCATGACCAGCAGAAAATACTAGGAGGGTTTGGTGAGCATTGACCTTGAGTTTTGGAGTTGTAGTTCACCTACATCCAGAGAGCAGTGTGGACTCAAACAATGATAGACCTGGACCAAACTTGGCACAAATTATCAATATGCCCAAATGTGAACACTGGTGGGGTTTGGGGAAAATAGACCTTGACAATAAATATAAGGGCAAGCAAATTGCAAACTATTCTTTCTATTCATCTCTCCCCTCCTATGCCCCCATTCTGTAACATGCACCATTTTCTTGTCATTTCAAAGCCCTCCAGAGATACATGTGTGAGTTACCATAGGAACAAATGAAAACCAGAGTGTCAAAAAGAGGTGTGAGAAAGAATGGAGAGAGAAAGAGAGAGAGAGAGACGTATTGGGAGAAAATAGAATGATTTCAAAAATTACTGCAAGGATCTGTGGAGCTGAATAGCGGATCTGCACCATTCCGAGAGGCAGAACTACAAATCCCATCATCCTCAACGGTGGGGTTGCAGTCCAATACAACTGGAAGGTCATTGCTTTGGGACAGCTGAGCTAAACCAATGATTGCATTGCTCATTAAACAATGGCCTATTGCCTTGGTCCATACTCCATCGCTGTCGAGTACCCATTATCCATAATCCCCAAAAACCCCAAAATCCGAAACTGGAGGACTGAGAGAGTAGCATCTTCACCTTTGGGTAATTCCATGTACTCCATCAAATCAAAAATATTGTATTATCAAAGGCTTTCATGGCCAGAATCACTGGGTTGCTAAGAGTTTTTCGGGCTGTCTGGCCATGTTCCAGAAGCATTCTCTCCTGACGTTTCACCCACATCTATAGCAAGTGTCCTCAGAGGTTGTGAGGGCTGTTGGAAACTAGGAAAATGGGGTTTATAATCTGTGGAAGATCCAGACTCTTGTCTGTTGGCGGTAGGTGTGATTGTTTCAATTGGCCACCTTGATTAGCATTTAATAGCCTAGCAGTTTCAAGGTCTGGCTTCTTACTGCCTGGGGGAATCCTTTGCTGGGAGGTGATTAGCTGTCCCTGAGTGTTTCTTGTCTGGAGTTGTCATTATTATTATTATTATTATTATTATTATTATTATTATTATTATTATTATTTGAAACACAAGAAGATGAGTCCACAGCAGACACTCTGCTGGCTGTTGTAGTGGATCACACGTCGTACACAAGTATCAAGGACTGTGTGATGTATTGGCGAATAATGTGTACAGATCCCAGTAAGGTGGCCTTCTGCAGCTGGCAGATGGGAATTTTGTCAGCGCCGATTGTGTTTAAGTGCAGGCCAAGGTCTTTAGGCACTGCAGCCAGTGTACCGATCACCACTGGGACCACCTTGACTGGCTTGTGTCAGAGTCTTTGCAGTTCGATCTTGAATTATTATTAATTATTAATTAATAATTAATAATATTGTATTATTATTATTGTGAATTGGAGTTTGGTGAAGCCCTATATTGTCCAGAAGGCTAAAAACTTACAACTCCGAGGATTGAGCTATTATACTTAAGATAATGTCAAACTGCCTTCATTCTACAGTGTGAATGCAACCAAAGTCACCAAATCCCAGAGTATGTTCCCGTTGCTTCAGTTCCCCTGTCCAAATGTGAAAGGAAAAACTGAGACAAAAACGCCCACACAGGCGCACATTCACTTCCCCCCAATAAACGCTTCCTGTCAAAATGAGAAATAAGCAATTAGTGAGTGAGCAGAAGGGTGTCGGGCTGTTATTGCTGCTTTTCCAAAACAAGAAAAATTAAAACAATCTATCTGCAACAACTACGAGTAGCGTTCCCAGGATGCACATCACTACAGGAGGAAAAGCCATTTGTTTTTATGATATAGGATGCAATACAGTTATTACGTATTGTCGAAGGTTTTCATGACCGGAATCACTGGGTTGTTGTAAGTTTTTCAGGCTGTCTGGTCATGTTCCAGAAGCATTCTCTCCT